TATAGAAATTTGTAGTGCAAACAGTGAGTTATTTTGGTAATGTAGAACTCATAGTAATGACACGACAATAATATTAATTTGGAGTCTGTTTTAATATATGAATAGATATATCTTAGCTTAAAAGCTAATGTATTGTATAGCATTGGTTAGATTTTTTAAAGCTTAATGTCCTTTTCTTCTCTCTCTCTCCCCGTATCTTGCAGTGGCGGAGTCAGGATGAAATTTATGAGGGGGCCAAGCATAAAAAAATTAATAATAATTAGTAAGAAAAATATAATAATAACTGTGTATATTATCAAGTTATCCATGCATTTTGCAGTCATTAAAAATCAAGAAAAATATTATATATATATATATATATATATATATATATATATATATATATATATATATATATATATATATATATATATATATATATATATATATATATATATATATATATATATATATATATATATATATATATATATATATATATATATTAGGCTTAATTGCAACTTTGGTCCCTCTATTTTGTATTTTTTTTATTTATTTTGATCCTCCCATTTTAAAATCCACCATTTAGGTCCTCATTTTAAGTTTCTAGATTGATATTAATCCCTTTGCCATTTTAAGTCATGTTTTTAATGATGTGGCTCGTTGAATGGTGATGTGACATTTCCATGTCATTTAAAATGGTCTTATTCACCAAATATCATTTTCATGTTATTTAGGTTTTTTTGATTTCATTTTTCAGAAAATTAAATTCACTTGTGTAAAACCCCAACGCAGAAGAACAACCCATTTCTTCAACCATTCATTTTTGTCAATTCTTCAAACCCAGTTCAGGAATGAAGATTCTTACTCTTCCCCTTTCACGCACGAATCTTCCCCTTTCACGCACGAAGACAAACCGTAATTAAAGATTCTATAGTTGTCGTTCCAAAGCAAACCGCAAATCAACTCCCGTTGTCGCTGTAGTAGTTAGGTCATCTCTAAAATAGCAAATCGAAATTATGTGTCGAGGTATGTTTCGTAACTCACCTCTGAATTCAAAAATCCTAAACACGCAAATGTCGTTTGTGTTCTGTCATAGCATATGATTTGTTTATACCAACTCCCGTTTTTATCTATGTTTTAATTAAGAAAATGTCGTTTGTGTTTTGTAGGCCCTCTGATACCCAAGTTGTTAGATTTAGAGTACACCATAGGAGACATTTAATTCAGAATCCAGTTTTGTTGTATGCTGGTGGGCTTGTAACTGAAATGAATTGGGATTGGGATGTGGACTTGATGTCTTACATGCAAATTGAAGATTTGATCAAAAGTGAGGGGTATCGTAATATAAAGTGTTTATGGTATTGGAATCCTAAATTTTTCTTTTCTCGTGGACTCCGGCCTCTGAACAATGATAATGATGTCTTAAGGTTAATGAAGGATGTTAGAGGATTTAAGGTAGTTGATCTTTATGTTGAATACAAAATTGAAGAAATAAGTATTGAGGATGTTATTTTTGAGGAGGATAATGGTGAAAAAGTCAATGGTGAAGGAGCAAACAGTGAAGAAGCAAACTGTGAAGTTAATGTCGAGGGAGCAAATGATGAAGTTAATGTCGAGGGAGCAAACGATGAAGTTAATGTTGAGGGAGCAAACAATGAAGTTAATGTCGAGGGAGCAAAAGATGAAGAGGTTAGTGTCGATGGAGTAGATGAAGAGGTTAGCATTAATGTTGATGACGTAGATGACAAGAGTGAAATAGATCCAGATTATAGCATGTGCAGTGAGGATGACGAGGAAGAGGATGGAGATTTGGAAGATGAAATTGATGAGATGAATTTAGGTGTTGACGTTTGGTATTAATTGGAAGACCGTTTTACCTAATGCTACAGTAGAAAAACCTTCAAAGTTGGATGGTAATTCCGATAATGGTAGTGATTCAGATGTGCTTCAAACTCCACCCGGTAGTGATGCTAAAGGTGATATGGCAAAGTTTCCAATCTTTAGGGAACCCACAAAACTTGAAGTATGGATGATGTTCAAGGATAAACCACAAATCAAAGATGCCATAAAGGAGTATGCAATTGAGAGCAAGAAAAATCTTGTATTCATGAAAAATGACAAGAAGAGAATGGTTGTCAAGTGTTTAGATGGTTGTCCATTTCATATTAGGTTTAGCATGAGGACTACCAATCAATATTGGCAACTTGTTAGCTTAACTGACAGTCATGGTTGTCATAGTACAACCAAAAATAGACAAGAAAAAACAAATTGATTGGGTCGCCAATTTGTGTACATTATAAGACACACTCCTAAAATAAAAACCAAATGGTTGATTGCAGAAGCTATTAAGAAGTTGGGGGTGAAGTTGTCAAAGGATCAAGCTTATAGAGCCAAGAAAAAGACAATGTAATTGATTCAAGGTACTGGTCATGAACAATTCACACATCTTAGAAGCTATGGTGAGGAGTTGTTAAAGTCAAATCCAAACTACACTGTTAAAATTAAGTGTACTGATTCAGATGGTGGTCATGTCTTTGAAAGAATATATGTATGCTTAGAAGCTTGTAAGACAGCGTTTGCAACGACTTGTAGGCCTCTAACATGACTGGATGCTTATTTTCTTAAAGGGGACTTTGGAGGTCAGTTAATAGGTGTTGTTGGTAAGGATGGAAATAACAAGATTTATCCAATCGCTTATGCCGTCGTGGAAGCTGAAACGAAAGACTCTTGGTAATGGTTCCTTAATTTGTTACTAGAAGACTTGCAATCTATAAAGACAACAAATATGGATTTATATCATATCAACATAAAGTTAGTTTTAGAGTGTTGCTATTTGTTATATGTGTTATGTGTTTATATGTGTTGATATGTGCTGCTATTTGCTATTTGTAATGTGCTGATATTTTCTATTTGTTATGTAATGTTATTTTCTATTTGTTATGTGCTGATATGTGCTGATATGTGCTGCTATTTTCTATTTGTTATGTGTTGCTATTTTTTATTTGTTATGTGTTGATATGTGCTGCTATGTTGTGTTGATATGTGATGCTATTTTGCTATTTGTTATGTGCTGCTATTTTCTATTTGTTATGTGCTTCTATGTTGTGTTGATATGTGCTGCTATTTTCTATTTGTTATGTGTTGATATGTGCTGCTATGTTGTGTTGATATGTGATGCTATTTTGCTATTTATTATGTGTTATTATATTGTGTTGATATGTGCTGTTATTTTCTATTTGTTATGTGCTGCTATTTCTATTTGTTATATGCTGCTATTTACTTACCGTTACAATGCTGATGTGTGTTATGTGATGTTTATGTGCTGATATGTGTTATGTGTTGTTATTTACATGCTGATATGTGCTGCTATTTGGTATTTGTTACAATGTTATTTACATGTTGTATGTTCAAGGATTAGTACCAGCTATTCTTGAGACAAGCCAACATGTTGAACACAGACTATGTGTTAAACACTTGTATGTCAATTGGAGAAAGAAATATCCTAGGATATTTATGAAGGAGGCTTTATGGCGGGCAGCTAGAGCCATAACAATTTCTGCATGGAAAAGAGCAATGAATCATATGAAAGAGCTCAATGTCAATGCTTGGAAAGACATGATGGATGTCCCAGCTGGATGTTGGACTCGGTCTCATTTCAAAACAGACACACAATGTGATTTGCAAGTCAACAATATGTGTAAGGCTTTTAATCGTGCAATCTTGGAGTATAAAGATAAGCCAGTCATTTCACTACTTGAAGGAATCAAACATTGCATAACATTGAGAATCTCTGCTCAAAAGCAGAAATTAAGTAGGTACATAGGTGTTACAAGTCCTAACATTCAAAAAGTCTTGGAAAAAACAAAGAGGGCAGCAGAAGGATGAATTGCAACATGGCATGTAGATGATGACTTTGCTATATTCGGAGTTTCAAACGGTGTTGAGACATATGTTGTGAACTTGCTTCAACAGAAATGTGGTTGTAGGAAGTGGGATTTAAGTGGAATACCATGTTGTCATGCTATTGCATGCATATGGTATAACAAGAAGAAGCCTGAAGAGTACGTTTAATCATTCTATAGGTATCACCTACTCGTATATTATGTTCACTTACATTCATCTTTTTTGTACACTTACTAAAATGATTGTGTCATTTTGTCTAGGAAATCTACTGTTTTGCCTACTTATAGCCATATTATTAAGCCAACCAATGACCCACAACCATGGTCTGTTAATGTTGCTAACCCAATCAGCCCTCCATTCATGCGAAGATCTATCGGTCGTCCTAAGAAGAATCGTAACAAGGTGAATGATGAACCGAGGATAAGAAATACACTGCCTAGAACTCTTCAAACTGTCAAGTGCAAGAAATGTGAGAGTTTTGGCCATAACAAGCGAACGTGTAAAGGGAAGCGAGCTGCGGAGAGAGCGATTCCTAAAGGTGGCAACAAAAAACCTAAAAAAAGGGTGACAAGTGGGGCAAGGAAGCGGGACAAACTATTATGGACGGAGGGTTGCAAGCACCGCCACCAACCTATTAATAATTCTATGTTTTACTTTACTTTTTGTGATGCTACTATAGCATATGTTATGACCAAAAAACTCAATGTCTTTTTGTTAAAATATGTTGTCTTTAATGTTGCCTGCTATGTAAAGACAACATACTTTACATAACAACACTGCATGTAATTTTACATAGCAGACCGCATTAAAGACAACATATTTTAACAAAAAGACCTTGAGTTTTTTGGTCATAACATATATTATAGCAGCATCACAAAAAGTAAAGTAAAACATAAAACTATTCTTGGGTTGGTGGCGGTGCTTGCGACCCTTCGTCTATAACAGTTTGTCCTGCTTCCTTGCCCGACTTGTCACCTTTTTTTTAGGTTTTTTGTTGCCACCTTTAGGAATCGCTCTCTCTGCAGCTCGCTTCCCTTTATATGTTCGCTTATTTTGGCTAAAACTCCCACATTTCTTGCACTTGACAGTTTGAAGAGTTCTAGGCAGTGTATTTCTTATCTTCGGTTCATCATTCGCCTTGTTACGATTCTTCTTAGGACGACCGATAAATCTTCGCATAACTGGAGGGCTGATTGGGTTAGCAACATTAACAGACCATAGTTGTGGGCCATTGGTTGACATAATAATATGGCTATAAATAGCCAAAACAGTAGATTTCCTAGACAAAATGATTTTAGTAAGTGTACAAAAAAGATGAATGTAAGTGAACATAATATACGAGTAGGTGATACCTATAGAATGATTAAACGTACTCTTCGGGCTCCTTCTTGTTATACCATATGCATGCAATAGCATAACAACATGATATTTCACTTAAATCCCACATCCTACAACCACATTTCTGTTGAAGCAAGTTCACAACATATGTCTCAACACCGTTTGAAACTCCGAATATAGCAAAGTCATCATCTGCATGCCATGTTGCAATCCATCCTTCTACTGCCCTCTTTGTTTTTTTCATGACTTTTTGAATGTTAGGACTTGTAACACCTTTGTACCTACTTAACTTCTCCTTTTGAGCAGAGATTCTAAATGTTATGTAATGTTTGATTCCTTCAAGTAATGAAATGACTGGCTTATCTTTATACTCCAAGATTGCGCGATTAAAAGCCTCACACATATTGTTGACTTGCAAATCAAATTGCGTGTCTGTTTTGAAATGAGACCAAGTCCAACATGCAGCTGGGACATTCATCATGTCTTTCCAAGCATTGACATTGAGCTCTTTCATATGATTCATTACTTTTTCCCATGCAGGAATTGTTGTGGCTCTAACTGCCCTTCATAAATATCCCATAATATTTCTTTCTCCAATTGCCATACAAGTGTTTAACACATAGTCTGTGTTCAACATGTTGGCTTTTCTCAAGAATAGTCGGTACCAATCCTTGAACATACAGCATGTAAATAACATTGTAACAAATACCAAATAGCAGCACATATCAGCATGTAAATAACAACACATAGCACATAAACATCACATAACACACTTCAGCATGTAAATAGCAGCACATAACAAATAGAAAATAACAACACATACCAACACAACATAGCAGCACATAACAAATAGCATCACATATCAACACAACATAGCAGCACATAACAAATAGAAAATAACAGCACATATCATCACAACATAGCAACACATAACAAATAGCAAAATAACATCACATATCAACACAACATAGCAGCACATAACAAATAGAAAATAGCAGCACATATCAACACATAACAGATAGAAAATAGAAGCACATAACAAATAGAAAATAGCAGCACATATCAACACATAACAAATAGCAAATAGCAGCACATATCAACACATATAACAAATAGCAGCACTCTAAAACTAACCTTCTGTTGATCTGATAAAAATTCATATTTGTTGTCTTGTATAGATTGCAAGTCTTCTAGTAACAAATTAAGGTACCATTGTCAATAGTCTTTCGTTTCAGCTTCCACGACGACATAAGCGATTGAATAAATCTTGTTATTTTCATCCTTACCAACAACACCTATTAACTGACCTCCAAAGTCCCCTTTAAGAAAACAAGCATCCAGTCCTATTAGAGGCCTACAAGTCGTTGCAAACGTTGCCTTACAAGCTTTTAAGCATACATATATTCTTTCAAAGACATGGCCACCATCTGAATCAGCACACTTAATTTTAACATTGGAGTTTGGATTTGACTTTAACAAGTCCTCACCATAGCTTCTAAGATGTGTGAATTGTTCACGACCAGTGTCTTGAAACAATTTCATTGCCTTTTTCTTGGCTCTACAAGCTTGATCCTTTGACAACTTCACCCCCACTTCTTAATAGCTTCTGCAATCAGCCATTTGGTTTTTATTTCAGGAGTCTGTCTTATAGTGTACACAAATTGGCGACCCAACCAATCCGTTTTTGCTTGTTTATTTTTGGTTGTCCTATGACAACCATAACGATCAGTTAAGCTAACAAGTTTCCAATATTGATTGGTAGTCCTCATGCTAAACCTAATATGAAATGGACAATCATCTAAACACTTGACAACCATTCTCTTCTTGTCATTTTTCTTGAATACAAGATTCTTCTTGTTCTCCATTGCATACTCCTTTATGGCATCTTTGATTTATGGTTTATCCTTGAACATCATCCCTAATTCAAGTTTTGTGGGTTCCCTAAAGATTGGAAACTTTGCCATATCACCTTCAGCATCACTACCGGGTGGAGTTTGAAGCACATCTGAATCACTACCATTATTAGAATTACCTTCAAACTTTGAAGATTTTTCTGCTGTAGCATTAGGTAAAACAGTCTTTCAATTAATACCAACGTCAACACCTAAATTCATCTCATTAATTTCATCTTCCATATCTTCATCCTCTTCCTCGTCATCCTCACTGCCCATGCTATAATCTGGATATGTTTTACTCCCGCCATCTACGTCATCAACATTAACGCTAACCTCTTCATCTACTCCATCAACACTAACCTCTTCATCTACTCCATCAACACTAATCTCTCAGTCGTTTTCTCCCTCGACATTAACTTCATCGTTTGTTCCCTCGATATTAACTTCATTGTTTGCTCCCTCGACATTAACTTCATCATTTGCTCCCTCGACATTAACTTCATCGTTTGCTCCCTCGACATTAACTTCATTGTTTACTCCCTCAACATTAACTTCATCGTTTGCTCTCTCAACATTAAATTCATTATTTGTTCCCTCGACATTAACTTCACCATTTGCTCCCTCGACATTAACTTCATCATTTGCTCCCTCGACATTAACTTCACCGTTTGCTCCGTCACCATTGACTTTTTCACCATTATCCTCTTCAAAAATAACATCAACAATACTTATTTTTTCAATTATGTGTTCAACATAAAGATCAACTACCTTAAATCCTCTAACATCCTCCATTAACCTTAAGACATCATTATCATTGTTCAGAGGCCGAAGTCCACGAGAAAAGGAAAATTTAGGATTCCAATACCATAAACACTTTATATTACGATACCCCTCACTTTTGATCAAATCTTCAATTTGCATGTAGGACATCAATTTCGCATCCTAATCCCAATTCATTTCAGTTACAAGCCCACCAACATACAACAGAATTGGATTCTGAATTAAATGTCCCCTATGGTGTACTCTAAATCTGACAGCTTGGGTATCAGAGGGCCTACAAAACACAAACGACATTTTCTTAATAAAAACATAGATAAAAATGGGAGTTGGTATAAACAAATCATATGCTATGACAGAACACAAACGACATTTGCGTGTTTAGGGTTTTTGAATTCAGAGGTGAGTTACGAAGCATACCTCGACACGTAACTTTAGTTTGCCATTTCAGACGGCCTAGCTACTACAGCGACAATGGGAGTTAATTTGCGGTTTGATTTGGAACGACAGCTTTAGAATCTTTAATTACGGTTCGTTTTCGTGCATGAAAGGGGAAGATTTGTGCGTGAAAGGGAAAGAGTAAGAATCTTCATTCCTGAACTGGGTTTGAAGAATTGGCAAAAATGAATGGTTGAAGAAATGAGTTGTTCTTCTGCGCTGGGGTTTTACAAAAGTGAATTTAATTTTTTGAAAAATGAAATAAAAAAACCTAAATGACATGGAAATGATATTTGGTGAATAAAACCATTTTAAATGACATGGAAATGCCACATCATCATTCAACGCGTCACATCATTAAAAACATGAATTAAAATGGCAAGGGGACTAATATCAATCTCGAAACTTAAAATGGGAACCTAAATGATTGTTTTTAAAATGGGGGGATCAAAACAAAAAAAAAACACAAAATAGGGGGACCAAAGTTGCAATTAAGCCTATAAATTTTAAATCTTTAGAATTACTTTTATCCCTTCCAAAATCTAAACAAAACATATACTCCCTCCGTAACAGTTTATAAGCAAAAACACATTTTTTTTATTACAAATTAAGATAATGCTAACTTGTGTCCTAGAAAATTCATTGATAAAAAATTTGTATTGAAAACAATAATAAAAAATTAATTATATACTTTTATTAAAATCAATACACAATTTTCAAAACAATATTTCTTCATTTTGTTCTTAACTTGCGCCCCTAGAACACAAGTTAACATTATCCTACAAATTATAAGAAAAAATATCAATTTAATTTTATTTATGTATTTTATTATGGATTAAATAAGTTTTTGGTCCCTCAAAATATTGCAAATTTTGTTTTAATCCCTCCAAAACTTTTCTTCAAGAAATCACCCCTTCAAAATTTTCCGTCTAAATAATTAGTCCCTAACGTCAAATACCACTAACGGATACTTACGTGGCAACACAGGTGGAATAAATAATTATTTTTTTAACTGAGATGTATTTCATTTAGGCTTAATTGTAGTTTTAGTCCCTCTATTTTCATTTTTTTTATAGTTTTAATCCCCCTATTTTAAAATTCAGAATTTTTGTCCTTCTATTTTCAATTTTTTTGAGTTTATTTTAAAATCCATAATTTTGATCCCTTTATTTTCATTTTTTTATAGTTTTGATCCCCTATTTTAAGTTTTATTTTGAATTTTAATCCCCTTTTTCAATTGGGAACAAATTTAATAGGGGACCAAAAGTTTTAAAAAATGAAAGTAAGGGGACCAAAACTCACAAAAAATGAAAATAGAGGGACAAAAATTTCAAATGATTAAATAGGGGAAGCAAAACTCAAAAAAACTGAAAACAAAGGGACAATAATTTTGGATTTTAAAATAAGGGGATCAAAACTAAAAAATAAATGAAAATAGAAGGATCAAATTTGCAATTAATCCTTTCATTTATTTAAGTGGCATGACAAGTGGATTCTTACATGGCTCTATCTTGATAAAAACCCTAATAAGCAGGAAATCCCTAATTCTCTACTTCACTCTATTTCGTTTTGTTTGTCGTACTTGTGATCCTAAAAGGAAACTCCATTGAAGGTGCACTGAAGCAGTACGTGGTTCCAACAACTTCGAATTTCATAACTTGTGGTCCCAACAACTTCAAATTTCATAACTTGTAATTCCAACATTGATGAAGCTTGCTTTGAATCTTAACTTTGTATGTTGCGGTCCTAACATTAAGGTTAGTACCACATGTGATATCGTCTAATGCTTTTGAATATAAAACGTATGTTTTGTGCCTCACTTACTTTGAAATCCATACATGTTTGTTTTGTTGTGTTGACTTTAAACATCTAGGGTTTTTTCTTTGACTATAAATGTAATGTCTGATTTACCCTCGTTCATATTTGTAATGTACAGGATATGAGGTTATTTAAGGTTGTATTTTATACCAAGGGGTCATTTATAAAGGATGTAAGGTTAAGATATGAGGGTGAGGATGTTTATGCTATAAGTGAGCAAAACTCTAATTTTTGGTTGCCACTTATGAGGCTAGATAGGGAGATAAAAAAAAGTGCAAGTTGGTTGCCAACATATGTAGGTAGATTAACATTTCAAGTAACACATGTCATATTCACATATAGTTTTGTTGTAGACTTGGCAAAACATACTTGTTCATGTAACTTTTGGGATTTAGTTGGGATCCCATGTAGACATGTTGTTGCTTCCATACATAGCAAAGTTTATGATCCTATTAAGTATGTATGCAAGTGTTATCATAGAAATGCTTATAAATTATGTTACAATGAAGTTATCACTCTCATAAATGACCAAAATAGATGGCAAATGATTGCTAATCCTGAAATATTGCCACCAAGTTTCAAGAGAGATCCAGGGAGACCAAAGAAGAGCACAACTAAGTGAATTGAGGAGTGAAATATGTTTTTTTTAAACTTATGTAATATGAAACTTTAGTACTCTTTTGATTATCATTATGCATTATGTAATATGAAACTTCAATACTTTTTTGATGTACTATTTTGTTTGGAACATCAACCTTATGTATTGCAGTTGTCGCTACTCGAAAATGCAACGACGATGAGGCAAAAATGGAAAGACAAAAGAGTCGCTATCGAACTTTATTTATCCCAAAAGGGGGAAGGAAAACATCGAGAAAACCCCAAAAAGAAACGGATAAGATGGTCTCGCAACCAAGAGAAAGGGTTCGGAAGTCGGTTATGCGAAGGGAAGGTATTAACAGCCCTCACATCCATCGTACTCGATGGGAACCATTTGTTTGTCATATGCATGAAGATATTTGCTAAAAGATATTGTTATAAAGGGCGTTCCAAGGGGAAAGAGAAAAGGTTGGGAACAGGAAAAAGAGACTCGGTAGGAACTCGCGGTTTTATGTCTACGTATTCTCAACAAGTATGAGAAAGTCAGAGTCAACGTAGTTTAGAGAACTACATATAAAAGATAGGAAAGTGCTCAGCGAGGATTAAGGCCCTCGTGGCTACGTATCTTCCCTTAAAAGAAGTGAAGAATCAGAGCAACCATAGTTTGGCCTACAGTTAACCGATATTTTTATGGATGATGCTAACTGCGCATTCTAGCAGTTAGGTGTATTGTAGCTCGCTAGTGGAGTCTTAGGCGTTACCCGTTTGCGGTATAATGTATATAACATATCCTTTTGAAAATATATAGTTTTCGCCATCGAGGCAAGATGTCACATTTGATTTGTGAAAGTTATTTTTAAAGATGAAATAAGTCCTTAGATAGTAACCCCTTGCGAGTAGTACCCAATTCTTTATCTCAAATATTTATTGTGAAAATGGTGTGGCAAACATAGTCATGTCTTCGTATTGAAAGACGAGTATTGAGACCACACACTCTAAAGTGAGTATCCTGACACT